CTTCCCCCCCCCCCCCCCCTGTTATTTTTTTCCTTTCTTTTTGTCTGTCTGTCTATCTTTCTTTCTCCTCGCAGGGGATGTGTCAGTTATTGTGTCAATGTACTTCTCTTTACCCCCCCCCTCCTACCTTTTCCCGAGATGTTGGAGGAATCCTTCACTCGTAGATGTCTACTTCTTTACCCCTTTCGCAGACGGACGTTAGATTCGGAGGTCCCTCCTCTTAGATGATCTAATAGTGGCTGATAGGGGCGTATAAATCTACACTCTCACTTAACTACCCCTCCGTTGTTTCTGTTTGTATATATCATTCTTTCTCCTTGCGAGAAATGGCAGATATTATGTCGATATACTTGTACTCTTTAATCAAACAAGGCGATTCTGAGACATAGCGAGACAGGGAGAGACATGTGACGACCTGATTGTGTCAAAACGGACGTAAGAGTCGAGCCGTTGGGTGGTTGGAGGGCGCCACTGTGCTAGCTCCTCGTTGTTCTTCCTCCTCTCTTCGCCTCTGTCCGTTGTTTCTGTCAATCTGCCTGCCTGTCTTACTCTCTTCTGCCCCCCCCTCCCCCCGCCTCATCAAAAAAAGAGAGGGGGGGGAGGCAGTAAGTGACAGTTGTTGTATCGACGATCTTCTTCTCTTTACTCAAACTCAAAAACAGTCGTAAGAATCTGTGGGTGGTTGCAGGGTGTCACTAGTAGCTTATCCTCCTTCTTTTGTTCCACTCCGTTTTTGTTTTTTGTTGTTCTTTGTTGGGGGTTTTTTGTTGTTGATTTGTTTGTTTTTCTAGGAGAAGATAGGGGGATAAATGACAGTTATTGTGTCGACGATCTGCTTCTTCTCATTACTCAAACTCAAAAACTGGCTTAAAAATCGGCGGATGGTTGGAGGGTGTCACTGATAGCTCATCTCCTCCTCCTCCTCCTCTGTCTTTTCTCCCCCTCTTCTGTTGTTTCCGTCCGTCTGTCTGTCTGTAAGTCTTACTCTTCCTCCCCCCCGGCGGCAAATGACCGTAATTGTGTCGTCGATCTGCTTCTTGTCTTTACTCAAACTCACCAAAAAAAAACCAGACGTAAGCACTCGGACGAAGGCCCCCTCACGTCGCCATGAAGAATGTGTTCACGTTCGCTACGGTTTAACTCTTAAATCACGTAGCGTTCACGCCGGGAGAGTTAACTCTTTTAGATCTAGTTTCAGTTAGAGTTTTACAGCACCAAGACTTTTGCATTTAGTTTCAGTTAGAGTTTTACAGCATCAACTCTTTTAGATTTAGTTCCAGTTAGAGTTCTACAGCATCAACTCTTTTAGGTTTAATTTCAGTTAGGGTTTACAGCGCTAACAATACAAATAAGTCACAAGTGGGTGGTTGGCGGGTGCTTTGGTGTGGTTTGCTCCTTCTTTCCTGCTGTCAAACATCTATTGTCCTTTTCTCCCCTCCTTTTTTGTGTTTGTTACTCTTTTGTAACTTATATGACCTTATGCGGTTGCGAGCGCCGTAAAACCTCTACTAAAACTAATCGTTCTCGGTCGCCACCATTCCCGACCGCCTCTGAGGAGTTGAGAGAGAGAGAGAGAGAGAGAGAGAGAGAGAGAGAGAGAGAGAGAGAGAGAGAGAGAGAGAGAGAGAGAGAGTGCTACTGAACTTCAGTCTTCCCAAGAGAGAGAGAGAGAGAGAGAGAGAGACAGACAGACAGACAGACAGACAGACAGACAGAACGAGATCTGTTGAACAACTCAACAACTCCTGTCTTTCCCCCGAGAGGGTCATCAGAACAAAGCACTCTGACAGCTGAGTGGGACCTTTTGTCACTCGATGACTGACTGATGGATTGAGCAGTCACCTGTCATCAAACCCCCCCCCCC